GCGCAGAGACTCAGAGAGAGAAAGAGGGGACATAGACCCAAAGAGGCAAGGAGAGACCCAGAGAGAAAGTAAGACGGAAGAGGCGAGCGGGAGCAGGAGCAATGGGTCAGGTGGGAGACGCACGGAGACACAGAGGGGAGGAGAGAGACCGGCCAGGCTGCCGGGAGGGACAAGTGGGAGACAGAAAAGGCCACGGAGGCCAAGACTCGTGAGAGACAGAAACACGGAGCGCTCTAGTGAGAGACGGAAACAGAACTGGAGTTGGAGGAACGGGAGGAGGGGAGAATCACCACTGAACAGGACAGACACCGCGACAGCACAGGTAGAAACACAGGGACTGAGAGGGGAGGAGCCAGCGTTGATAGCGAGAGGCAGAGGCCTGATGGAAAGCCTGGGACGCAGACGTGGCCTAGGAATTGGGCAAGTGGACCGAGGGACCAACCGCTGTGGCCATCCCAGGACTGAGCAATTCCTGAGATGTGGGACAGCCAGTGCTGAAGGCAGATCTGTGTCAAACAGAGCTCACTGGTCCCGGTGGGTGGGACAGAATGAGGGACAGGAGCGGGCCACCGGCTTTTCTGGTTCCCGAAGGAGCCCGTTGTGAAATGTGAAAGTGCCTTCTGACCTTGCCCCTGAGGCCCTCTGCCCTAGGAAATGTGTGGTTTACCTTCCTTCATTTTCAGACCCTGAATGTTTCCAAATGAAAAGGTAAATTTGGCCCCATGTTTTTTTTTTTTTTTTGAGATGGAGTCTTGCCCTGTCACCCAGGCTGGAGTGTAGTGGCGCAGTCTCAGTTCACTGCAACCTCCCCCTCCCAGGTTCCAGCGATTCCTCTTCCCCTGCCTCAGCCTCCGGAGCAGCTGGGACTCCAGGCACGTGCCACCACGCCTGGCTAATTTTTTCTGTATTTTTAGTAGAGACTGGGTTTCACCATGTTAGCCAGTATGGTCTTGATCTTCTGACCTGGTGATCCACCTGCCTCGGCCTCCCAAAGTGCTGGGATTACAGGTATGAGCCACTGTGCCTGTCCTGGCCCCACGTTTTGAGTCTTTGATATATTCATGGAGCTCCCTCTGAAATGCACTCAGCTCCAAGAAGAGGAAAATCGACCTCTTCGTCTTTTGTGAACACATTACTGTGACCCCTCTTGACCCTGGCTACACAGCAGAATCTCTAGGGAGAGCTTTCAAAATAAAATCGATGCTCGGGCCCCATCCCCAGGCCTTGTGGTTTAAGTGGTCCAGGGAGGAGCTCAGCTCAGGAAGGAGCTCAGCTCTGGGAATTTCAAAACCTCCCCAGGGATTTCTGCGGGGAGCTGGGCTGAGACCTATCTATCTGTGGTTGTGAAAAAATGGCCTTGGGCCAGGAACAGTGGCTCATGCCTGTAATCCCCGCACTTGGGAGGCTGAAGCAGGTGGATCATTTGAGGTCAGGAGTTCGAGACCAGCCTGGCTAACATGGTGAAACCCCGTCTCTACTAAAAACTTGAAAATTAACCGGGTGTGATGGCAGGCACCTGTAATCCCAGCTACTCGGGTGCCTGAGGCAGAAGAATTGCTTGAACCTGGGAGGTGGAGGTTGCAGTGAACCGAGATCACGCCACTGCATTCCAGCCAATAGAGTTTCTGTCTTTAAAAAAAAAGAAAAGAAAAGAAAGAAAATACAACCTTGAAAACTCCCAGAGGACTGAGAAAGGCAGCACTGAGTGGCTCAAAACCCTGGGGTGCGGGTGGGAAATTGGGGGGAAATGCGAAGACCAGCTTTGTTGTCAATATTTGTTAGTGGCGATGGAGGGTGCTTTGCTCATGCCTGTAATCCTAACACTTTGGGAGGATTGTTTGAGGCCAGGAGTTCCAGATCAGCCTGGGCAACATAGAAAGACCTCATCTCTACTGAAAAAAAAAAAAAAAAAAAAAAAAATCAGCCAAGCATAGCGGCATGCACCTGTGGTCCCAGCTGCTAGGGAGGCTGAGGAAGGAGGATTCCCTTGAGCCCAGGAGGTAGAGGCTGCAGTGAGTCATGATCGCACCACTGCACACAGGACTGGGTATAGAGGTGACCTTGTAAAAACACACTGCACAGTAACTTGCATGGTGGTTTAGCAAACAAGAGGTGCTTAGTAAATGGTAGCTAACAACAATGAAAAAAAAGTTTCCCAAACATTGACAGCCAAGCCACAGCTGGGGGTTTAGCAAGGGTCAGGTGCTGTTCAGAGCAACCCCACCTGAAGCTCCCTGTTACAGCCTGGAAGGAGGGGAGGCAAAGTCAGGGCAGCAGGCAGGAGAGACGGACTTTGCTTAGGGTTCCAGGAAGCCTCGGGGGAGAGGTGGGGAAGTGACACAAAACAGACCTGGGAGGCCATTCACAGTGGCCCACACCTATAATCCCAGCTCTTTGGGAGGCCAAGGCAGGCAGAGCACCTGAGGTCAGGAGTTCGAGACCAGCCTGGCCAACATAGTGAAACCTCATCTCTACTAAAAATACAAAAATTAGCTTGGTGTGGTGGTGGGCGCCTATAATCCCAGCTACTCAGGAGGCTGAGACAGGAGAATCTCTGGAACCTGGAAGGTAGAGGTTGCAGTGAGCCAAGATGGCGCCACTGCACTCCAGCCTGGGTGACAGAGCAAAACTCGGTCTCAAACAACAGCAACAAGAAAACAAAAAAAGATATGGGAAAGAGCACGCCAGGCTGGGGCCCAGCAGTCCACAGGTGTGGTGCTGCATTGTAGACTATCTTCAAGTTCTCTGTGGCCAAGGATACACCAGGGCAGGCATGGGAGGTGGGTGAGAATTTTTTTTTACGGCTGGAGGGGGTCAGGTTACACAAAGCCCCCAATGCTCGGTGGAGGGCCTGGGATTCTTATCTCTGGTGACGGCACAGGGCACTGGAGGGCTGTGAGGAGAGGGACAGGGTCAGCTCTGGGTACAGGAGGACCCCTCTGAGGACTGGAGGAGAGAGACAGAAGGCTGGCGTGAGGGTCCAACAGGAGAGGAAGCCCACGCAGGGAGGAGGGAGGAAGCAGCCCAGGACCCCCCAGGTCTCAAAAAATTGTAATTTTGAGCAAGACTTTGTCTCAAAAACAAACAAAAAAACTAACTAACTGTAGTTTTTGCCAAAACCAACATTTATTTCTTGCGCCTAACCTTTAAGGAAACCAATTTCTAGCTAAGAAAATAGTGCAACATCGCCACTGTGTGGTTGTTTGAAGTTTTGCAGCCAAGAACTCGAAAGTAAAGCCAGCTTCCAAATCGGGACGCTTTTGAGATTTCAGGAGAATGCTATGGCCGCTGATGCTAAAACATTGGCCTAAAATATTGGTGATCCACAAAAACTCTATTAATTTGAGATAAAATGATAGTGTGACTATGAATCTGTTTATTACTGAAATTTGTGGCCTGGCACAGTGGTGCACGCCTGTAATCCTAGCACTTTGAGAGGCTGAGGTGGGCAGATCACCTGAGGTCAGGAGTTCGAGACCAGCCTGACCAACATGGAGAAACCATATCTCTACCCAAAATACAAAATTAGCTGGGCGTGGTGGCACATTCCTGTAATCCCAGCTACTCGGGGGACTGAGGCAGGAGGACCGCTTGAGCCCAGGAGGTTGTGGTAAGCCGACATCGTGCCATTGCATTTCAGCCTGGACAAGAAGAGTGAAACTCTGTCTGAAAAACAAACCCAGCCTGGCCAACACGGTGAAACCCTGTGTCTACTAAAAATACAAAACTTAACCAGGTGTGGTGGCAGGTGCCTGTGCTCTCAGCTACTCGGGAGGCTGAGACAGGAGAATCACTTGAACCCAGAGGTGGAGGTTGCAGTGAGAGGAGATCACGCTCTTGGGTGACAGAGTGAGATTCCATTTCAATAAAATGAAATAAAATAGAAAAATCTGTTAGGCTTTTCCAGGAAAACTTAGCATGTATATAGTCAACCCTACTCCAAAGCCACCTTTTCAGATACTGAGTTAAAATGAAATCCCTTCTGACTAGATGAGAAGGTAGGTGAAATGCCACTGAAGGTTGAGGTGTCCCCCAGAGCATTCACCTGGGGAGGCTGGAGGTAAGAGGCAGGGGCTGGGGGAGGGGCACTAAGCAAGGGGCTACTAGTGAACTGCCTATAGGGGCTGGTCTGGACACTTTTTCAGGGAGGGACATTGCTGGTGGGTGTTGAAGGTTTAATAGAAGTTTGCTAAAAAGAGAAAAGAGGCTGAGCACAGTGGCTCACACCTTAATTCCAACACTTCAGGAGGCTGAGGCAGGAGGATTGCTTGAGGCCAGGAGTTAGAGAGCAGCCTGGGCAACATAGTGAGACCCTGTCTCTAAAAATTAAAAAGTTAGCTGGGCATGGTGGTGCACACCTACAGTCCCAGCTACTCAGGAGGCTGAGGCAGATTGTTTGAGCCAGGAGTTCAGGGTTGCAGTGAGCTATGATCACACCACTGCTCTTCAGCCTGGGCAACAGAGTGAGATCCCATCTCAAAAAGAAAAAAAAAAAAAGAGGAAGATGTGTTGATACGGTATGATGGTGAAGAAGATGGCGGTAACTACAGACCCGCTGCAGCTGACCAAGTGCATTCACAACTTGGATCTCAGGCTGTGGTTTTCTGGGGCCCATTTGACAAAGATTTTTGCTTCTGTCTGATGAAGAAGACATCGGGGGATCAGAGGGAAATAACAAATCTGAAGTACAGAGCAGCCTGTGCTGGTGCCGGGTGCTGAAGCTGCCCTGCTTTTTCTTCCCTCTGTGCCCTTACATCCAAAGTTGAAATGTTCTTCCCCTTCTTCAAATGCCCCACACAGACTCCTACTCATCCCTCAAAACCCAGCTCAGATTTCCCAGCTCCTAGCCTCAAACCTGAAAGGGTGGGCCCTCACCACTCTCCTACCTCGGAGCCTGGAGTTTGGACCCCCTACCCGACTCTGTCCTGAAACACAGAGCCCCCAGGTGTGGGGCAGGCCCCCGGCTGGGCGCAGGGGCAGCGGGTGTGGGCAGCAGGATGTGCGGATTCAGTTACATTTATTTGGTCTCAGAGCAATGGTTAGGGCAGAGGCAGGGCTCTTGGGTGGGGAGGTCCTGTGTCTTCTCACTGCTGAGCCTGAGAGAGGAAAACGGAGATGAGACAGAGACCAAGATGACCAAACCGGGCCAGAGAGACAGAGACTCCGCCCCACCTCCGCCTCCCCTCCTGCTCACCTTGTTGAAGAAGTAGATGGAGGCCAGGATGGTGAACACGGCGATGGCCAGGGTCACATTCTGCAGGGAGGAGATCAGAGGTCGGGACCTGTCACCTCCCTGCACTCTGCCCCACCCCAGGCCTCCCTTCCCTGCCAGACCCCTCCTCACTTCCTGAAAGTTCATGGCCATGGGACTTCAGCTACCCCCTGCTTGGCCTCCGTTTCCCTTTCCTGGGCCTCTGAGCCATAGAGGGGAGAAGCCACTGGAACTCCGAGAGGGGGTTGTTGGAGAGACCAGAATGGTGGCCATGGCAACGGGGGAAGGGCATTCTGGTAGAGGGGACAGGCAGGGGCTTAGAGCAGAGGGAGACCCAGGTGTGGCCCACCACATGTGGTATCTGAATGTGACATCAGGACATGTGAGATTGGAGAGTTTGAACCTCAAACCACACTGAGGCATCTGGGTTTTTCCTTGGAGGGAAAACCTCCAAGGGTTTTCCCCATGCTGGGGAGCCATGGGGGGGTTGAGAGGAGAGAAGGGACTGACTCAGTTCTGGGTGTAAAAGTGCCTCAAAGCAGGAGGAGGCTGCAGGCCAAATTTCCTCCTCCAGATAGGAGCATCACGTGGGCCACTGTACTCCAGCCTGGGCAACAGAGTGAGATCCTGTCTCTACAACTACAATTAAAAAAAAATAAAAGGCCGGGCGCGGTGGCTCAAGCCTGTAATCCCAGCACTTTGGGAGGCCGAGGCGGGTGGATCACGAGGTCAAGAGATCGAGACCATCCTGGTCAACATGGTGAAACCCCGTCTCTACTAAAAATACAAAACATTAGCTGGGCATGGTGGCGCATGCCTGTAATCCCAGCTACTGAGGAGGCTGAGGCAGGAGAATTGCCTGAACCCAGGAGGCGGAGGTTGTGGTGAGCCGAGATCGCGCCATTGCATTCCAGCCTGGGTAACAAGAGTGAAACTCCGTCTCAAAAAAATAAAAATAAAAATAAAAATAAAAAATAATAATACAACTCGATCACTTGCAGGTGAGCAAAAAAAGAGACAATAGAAAAAAAAGAAAATAAAAAAATAAAATACATGTGATACATGTGTGAGATATCTATTTACCTCTCTATCACTACCACAAAAAAGGGAATTATATGGTCTGGCTATTCAGATAGTTATTTGGATTATTTGTGGCAGATAAGAGTCTTGCTATTTTTGGTAGTTATATTGTATAACTGTGAACATTTCTTGGAGAAATATATATATAAAATGTATATACACACATGTATTTTTAATATCTATACACACGTACATATAAATATATATACATATATAATGTATATAAATATATAACATACGTAACTAAACTACAACTATAAACTACAATACATATATATACATATATACACATATAAATGTATATATACACACGTGTGTGTGTGTGTGTGTGTGTGTATACACATATATATCCCATCTCTATTAAATGTACAAAAAAATTAGCCAGGGATGGTGGCACACACCTGTAATCCCAGCTACTTGGGAGGCTGAGGCACGAGCATCACTTGAATCCAGTGAGGTGGAGGTTGCAGTGAGCCCAGATTGCACCATGCACTCCAGCCTGGGCAACAGAGCAAGACTCATCTCAAGAAAAATAAAAAATAATAAATATATATATTGAAAAATACATACTTTTATTAATGAAGCAATGGTTTATTATTTGCTGATTCAGTGGTCACAGTTATACATCGCTACTGTGAGTAACAAGAATTGATTGTAAAATGATACCTCAGGGGACCACCCAGAAACTTCCAGAAGCAACACATTCTGCAGAGCAACTGGCACCATCTCGCCAACAAATCCATGTCACAAAGCAGAACAAAAGCAAGTGGCCTTGCTATATTTTTAAAAATCCATTAAGAGACACAGGACCAGCTTTAATGGTTGATCCTGGACCGGGTTTTGGACAAACAAGTTAGAAAGGCTCTCTGGGTGGGAAGCAGAGGCAGGAGGATCACTTGAAGCCAGAAATTTGAGACCAGCCTGGGCAATGTGGCGAAACTCTGTCTCTACTAAAAACACAGAAAAATAAGCCAGGCGTGGTGGCGCATGCCTATAGCCCCAACTACTCGGAGGCTGAGGCAGGAGGATCGTTTGAATATGGGAGGCAGAGGTTGCAGTAAGCCGAGGTCGCACTCCTGCATTCCAGCCTGGGTGACAAGACGACTCCGTCTCCAAAAACCAAACAAATTGAACAAACAAAACAACCAGTGTCTTTGGGGAGAAATTGAGGGACATTTGAACAGAGAGTCGGTATCAGGCAAGATGAAAGCACTTTTGCCAAGGAGAAGAGGAGGTTGTTAACTGAAAGATGCAGGTTACAAAATTGCAGGTTCCGTGATCTCACGTTGGTGAGAAGTACATATACGAAAAATATGTACTTCTCACCAAAATGAGATGTGCATTTAAAAATCAGGTTTTGGCCATGCGTGGTGGCTCACGCTTATAATCCCAGCACTTTGGGAGGCCAAGGCAGGTGGATCACCTGAGGTCAGGAGTTCGAGACCAGCCTGATCAACATGGTGAAACCCTGTCTGTACTAAAAAATAAGAAAATTAGCCAGGCGTGGTGGTGTGTGCCTGTCATCCCAGCTACTCAGGGAGGCTGAGATAGAAGAATTGCTTGAACTCGGGAGGCAGAAGTTGCAATGAGCCAACATCGCAACACTGTACTACAGGCTGGGAAACGGAGCAAGACTCCATTAAAAAAAAAAAAAAAAAAATCAGGTTTTACTCTGTCTCCCAGGATGGAGTGGAGAGACACAGTCAGGGCTCACTGCAGCCTCAACTTTGGGCTGAAGCGATCCCCCCGCCTCAGCACCCCCACCCCCAATAAGTGGCTGGGACTACAGGCATGCACTACAGCTGGCTAATTTTTTGTTATTTTTAGTAGAGATGGGGTTTCATCATGTTGTCCAAGCTGGTCTGAAACTCCTGGACTCAAGCGATCTGCCCACCTTGGTCTCCCAAGGTGTCAGGATTACAGGCATCAGCTGCCGTGCCTGGCCTAGTTACACCGATTTTAGACTTCTGACCTCCAGAACCGTAAGGGAACAAATGTGTGTCCAGAGTGGTAACTTGTCACAGCAGCCACAGAGCAGCCAATACATCAGTAGACATTAAAGTGCTAACATTCGGGGGCTAGAACACAGTTTCTAGCTTCTTAATTTTGTTTCAGGGTTTTTTTTTTTTTTTTTTTTTTTTTTTTTTTTTTTTTTGAGAGACAGGGTCTTGCTCTGTTGTCCAGGCTGGAGTGCAGTGGCACGATTATAGCTCACTGCAGCCTCAAATTCCTGGACTCACATGATCCTCCCATCTCAATGTCTTGTGTCGCTGGGACCACAGACACACGCACTATATCATGCCTGGCGAATTTTTGTTTATTTTTTATAGAGATAGAGTGGGGAGTCTCACAGTGTTGACCAGGCTGGTGTGCGCTGCTAGCTCTTGGTCTTTCTTAAGCCTCCTGCTCTTCTATTTCTCTATTCTAGGGGCCTCTACCCTATTTCCAGTGGGGGGAAGAGAGAGATTCACAAAACTTTTGTATCCAGTGTGCTGGCTCACACCTGTAATCCCAGTACTTTGGGAGGCTGAGGTGGGAGAACTGCTTAAGCCCAGGAGTTCAAGACCAGTCTGGGCAACACAGTGAAACCCTGTCTCAAACAAACAAACAAAACGACCAGGAGAGGACTGGAAGCTGACTGTCCACAGCGAGGCAGGGGCCAGCCCCATGTGCTGCTGTGAAGTGTAGGTTTCATCATCATTCTGGGATGGCAAGGCGGCCTGAGCAGCAGACGACTGCCATTAAAAGGTGACTTGTCGTACTCACAGCTTCCCCAGAGGAGGGGCACGTCATAGGGACTGCATGAGGAGGCACCAGGGGTGCCCAGGAGGCAGACCACAGGCAAGCATCTTCCGTGTGTTTTCTGTGGGATACAGGGGTTAAGGAGTGGCTGGCTGAGCCACTCAGCAGGCTCTGGGCACTGGCGCTGTCCTGAGTTGTCCAGTACCCCACCCTGGGTGATCAGGGCGGGTGGATGGTGGTTCGAGTGGTTGGGGTGTGGGCTCTGGGTTGGCTGGTTTGCACAGAGACGTATGCTCCTGGGCCAGTCATGACTTTCTAGGGATTGGTAACCCTGGGAAGGGCAGTCCTTCTACGATCAGCAAGGCCCCCGATGTCAAAGCATCAAAGTACAGAAAATCAAGCACATGGTTACTCCAGTCAGCCTCTGTAACTTGAGGTGTCAAGGCTGTCGCTGAGACGAGCAATGTGGGGTGGGGGTGGGGGTATCTTTCTGAGTCTGCATCCAGGTAAAGCCACCTGGGTTCAAATTGCAGCTTTGAGAAATCTCAGTGTTTTCTCAGACAAGTTCCTGAACCCGTCTGTGCCTCAGTTTCCCCATTGGCACAATGGGGATGGTGATTAGCACACTAATGCCTCCTGGGGCTGTGGTGAAGATGAAATGGGTTAATCCAAGGCTGGCAGAGGTGCAGGAGGAGCAGGATCGGCGGCCCTGGGGGAGCGTGCCGGGGCCTGCTATAATGGGGGTGCTGAGTGCAGCGCTGGGACAGGCAGGGTTGTGGCCCAGACAGTGGGCTGAGCTCAGCGTCTGGGCCGGGTGGAAATGGCCGGGCTGGGGTTTTGGGGCCACCCTGCTGCATCTCTCCTGCTGCTCCTGCTGCTGCTGCCACCCCGGGCCCTGCCAGAAGGACCCCTGGTGTTTGTGGCTCTGGTGAGGCGCCCCCGCCCCAGGTGGCCCTCAGCTCCCCCAGGGCCAGCCCTGACCGGTCCTGTCCCCAGGTGTTCCGCCATGGCGACCGGGCCCCACTGGCCTCATATCCTACGGACCCACACAAGGAGGCAGCCTCCACCCTGTGGCCACGAGGCCTGGGCCAGCTGACCAGGGTGAGAAGTGGGTGGGGGGTGAGGGTGAGGGTGGAAGGGGTGGGGAGGGGTCGGCTGAGGCTGTTCTGTCCCTAGGAGGGTGTCCGCCAACAGCTGGAGCTGGGCCGCTTCCTGAGGAGCCGCT